CTTAAAGAAAAAAAAAAAAAACTGGCAAGATTTCTCCCTTGCAACTCCCACTGGTCATTGTGAGTAAAAGGCAAAAGTTAAGTCCTGACTGTCATCTATAAGGCCTCAGGTGATCTGCGTCCCCTCCCTTCTTCTGTAAGGCCCAGGCCCCATTTCTTACTACCTCTCCCCTTTCACCTTCCTCACTCAGCCTCCTTGCTGTTCTTCAATTGCTATGCATGTTCCTACCTCGGGACCTTTGCACTTGGAGCTTGATGCTCCCTCTGCCCTGAACTCTGTCCCATAAGGTAAATGATCATGACTCACTGCTTCTCTTCAGACTTTTGTTAAAATACCTTCTTATTGAGACCACTCCTGGCCAACTCATTTAAAATTACATCCCTCTCCTCTTCTCTGATTTGATTTCCCTTAGCACTTCTCTCTACCTAAGATATCAAAGTCTACTTATTTATTCTACTGTCTTTCTTCTACCACCAGATAGATGCTCAATAAATCTGTGTTGACTACATGAACATATTTATTATCTCATTACCATTATTTTTTCACAGATGAAAAACCAGGTCAAACCATTTCTCTTACTTTGTGCGGCTGCTGTGAGGACAGAGATAATTAGAATGTATTAGGAGCCCTGGGTACCAGTCCCAGGTGATGTGTTAAGATTGTCCCTACCCATTGCTAGGCCCCAGTATCCTTATCTGAAAATTGGGGGACCATATTACATTATTTTATAAGACTATTCTAATGTTACAAAGCCTATGATTGTGCGATAAATTAAACAGCACTGAAAAGTTTATTGAGTAATATAGAAGGGTGGAATAAAAACGGGCATGCTCTGATGGGTCACAAGGGGTTGACTTATTACATCATTCCAGCAAATACTGATATATGTAAAGAAGATCAGTCCCTGAACTCAAGGAATCTGGAGTCCAGTGCTCCTCTCTGGCTGCCTAGCACACAGTAAAATATTATTATTATTATTACTATTTTGAGACAGTACTATTTTGTGGCACTCTATCACCCTGGGTAGTGTCATCATAGCTCACAGAAATCTCAAAGCCTTGAGCTCAAGCAATCCTTTTGACTTAGCCTCCAAGTTGCTGGGACTAATGTTTGTGTTACCATACCTGGCTAGTTTTTGTATTTTAAGTAGAGACAGAGTCTCTCTCTTTATCAAGCTGGTCTCGATATCCTGAGCTCAACCAATCCACACGCCTTGGATTCCCAGAGTCAAGAATTAAAGGTGTGAGCTACTTCACCTGGCCAAAATAGTCAAATTTAATGTCATGGCTAAGGCTGCCTTAGTTCATGAAAGGGACAACCAAGAGCCAAGTGGAGAGGAAGAAAATCTTAGAATTGAGGCATCCAGTGTGGTAGAGAAACCTAAAATTCAGGGTCTCCTTTGATTCAGAAGCTTTCTATGTCCTAATAGATAGCCCAAGGGGGTTCAGTTGAATTGAATTTGTTGAATAGCTATTTTATCCAAGGCCCTGTGCCAAGAGTCAGGGCTGCATTATGACTTCTGTGGAACCTAGGCACTATTCCCTTCTTTTTATTTATTTATTTTTATTTTTTATTTTTTTTTTGAGACAGAGCCTCAAGCTGTCACCCTGGGTAGAGTGCTATGGCATCACAGCTCACAGCAACCTCCAACTCCTGGGC